GTCATCATCAAAATACATCTATATATCAAATTTATCTATCAAAATATATCTCACATGACAATTAAAAAAAGGGAAACCAAATAAGTGAAACACTTGGATCTTACCCTCTGGTTGTGACTAACAGTTCGCCATGGTATAGATGGCCCTAATCGAAATAGATGGTTTACCGTTTACTAAATAGCATGGTGGATCTTTCCATGGCAAACTGTTAGTCATTTCACCAGATGGTAACCATCATTAACCACCATTAGGGGGTGTTTTAACCATCATTAACCATCATTAACCATGATGTTAACCATCATCAACCATGATGTTAACCATCATTAACCATGATGTTAACCATCATTAAATAACCAGATGTTACCATCAAAGGTGGATTTACCCTGACGATTCCTGCAGATGACCACCCCGGGTCCCCCCGGGTCGGTCGGTTCCCCCGGGTCACGATGGTAGGCCCGATGCCGACGCCATCGCGTCGCCTAAAACTGGGGGGGTACCTCTTTGGGAGCCCCTAAAGATCATTAAAGATATCCTAAGATATCCCAAGAAAACTAAGGTTAACATCAGGGTTAATGATAATTAATGATGGTTAACATCATGGTTAATGATGGTTAATGATGGTTAAAACACCCCCGAATGGTGGTTGATGGTTACCATCTGGTGAAATGAAATCGTCCGAAGATGGTTCCTGCTCCCTTGAGGCGACTAGCTGCCTATAGTCCCAACCATCTTCTCGTTGGCCCCTCTTTGTTCGCGATTTCGCCAAGGGTTTTCATGGTTTCAAAGTCATGGAACCCAAGTTATAATTTAAGCTATTGGTATATACTGTTGAATAGGGAAACCAATACTTTTGGGGCACCCGAATTATAGGAAAACTCAAAATATGAACTTGAAGAAATCGCTGTGTGTTTTTCCGTGGTAAAGCATCGAACGGACCAACATGCTAGGGTCATTTGAGCGGTGGTCATGGTCAAATTCCACTCCCTTAAAGCAACAATAAACTACCCATTTGGGAATGGTAACCATACCACCTATAAAAATGGTGATGACTGGGGGATGGTGGCTTCTGCGCAGGCGCGTTTTTTTACCAGGGGAATTAATCAACTCATTTCATCTGCTGAGCGAGTGGTTGACTGCTCCTTGATGCTCCTTGCGCCCGGTGGTTTGAAAATCCTGGATAAGCTTCGCCCAGGGAGTGTCTGTGTTTGAAGCATGCAAAGAATCGGCCAAAATGTATGGGGGGTTCTTAAAATGGGGGTACCCCTAAATCATCTATTTTCATTGGATTTTCCATTATAAACCCACCATTTTTGGATTCCCCCATTTATGGAAACCCACTTATATACCTAGGGACACACAGAAGCTGGTTTTTCAGGCGACGCGAAATATTGGAGCTTTCAAAACGAAATCTCGAAAAGTCCTTGCGGCACTTGTCGTTCGCAAACTGTTTGGGGGACCAGGTCAGAAAATATTTCACCGACCAAAAACTGACCGTCTGCATATGCTAAATTTCAGTTCAGTCCAGGTCGGTGCAGGAGACACGGGACCCGAATATTTTTTTAGATCTGCTAAGGTCAATTTTGTAAGTGACACACACACACATCCCCTTTTTGCACACACTTGCTCAGAAATCTAGTCTAACCATCTGATTACCAGGTATTCTCCAACATTTTGGGGTTAGATCTTTGGGCTGAGGTTCAAAGCCTCCAAAATTTGGGTCTTGTGGATTCTGGGTGGCGAATCCAAATCACCTGGTAATCAAACACCGCAATGGGAACCCTGTATTTCGAGATAGTACTTCCTGTAGATTCAAACCCAAAAAATCTGGTATCTCCCAAAAACGCCTTCAGCTGCCCATAAAACCAAGTTTTTAATGATTCATGGCATTTTTTGCCATCGAAATTGCTGCCCAAAAAGCATGGCCCAGCCTCGCGTCCGCTCCCTCCCAGCCGCTCCCGACGCGCCAAGAAGTAGGGAGCCGCCCGTCCAAACTCCAGGGTGTGTTCTCGGGCCAAAGGACTGCAAAAAAGGACTTTGACCATGGGGCAACCCTAAATTTCATCCGGGAAAACTATAGTAATGTGGGCAAAACCAATGGTAATACAGCAATTGATGATGGTTAATAATGGTTATAATGATGATTATAATGATGGTCATAACTAAACATCAACTATCTCAACTAATGTGGGTAAAACAATGCCATCAACCACCCATCTGGGAATAGTAGTAGTTTATGCCACCGATAAACATGGTGATGACTGGGGGATGGTAAACATGACATTGGTTTACCCACATTAGTTGATATAGTTGATGTTTAGTTATAACCATCACTATAACTATCATTATAACTTCATCATGATAACCATTATTTACCATCATCAACTACTATATTACCATTGGTTTTACCCACATTTAACATCATTTAACACTAACAGTATGCTATAGTTCACTAACCTGAAACCAGTGGCTCGCTAACCGTATGAAGTCAAAAAAATATCATCATTCCTGCGCGACCGCCGTTTTCGCGAGGTCATCAAAGGGTCATCCATCATTTTCCGTTTAAAAAAGTGCCCGTTACCTTCTGGCAATATATAATGGGATATAATATGATAAATAATATGATATTGAGATACTATAAATATCAATGGGATATAATATGTTGGCAATATCAATATCAATGGCAATATAAATAACAATATAAATAATGGCAATATCAATGGGATATAATATGATAATATGATATAGAGATACTATAGTCACTTCATTGATGAAACATTACCATCTGGCAAATTAACATAGACCCCGAAAATCACCCATTTTGAGTGGAAACTAATCTTCCAACCCCGATGACTGCCAGGGTCGAACTGTTAATTTACTGGAGGGTATTTCGGGGGAATGTTTGGGGGAGATGTTCCCCTATGTTGACACACTGGTGATGGAAACTTCAGGGAAAATGATGTCTCAGGGCGGGTCGGTATAATCATTTCTCAACATTTCCCTCTTGGCCTCTTCCCCTAAGAATCTAAGAATCAAGCAAATAGATGCAAATAGTAGGACAATGACACTGCTAACCAATTGCAAGGCATATACCCACTTGTAGTTTGCTAGCACCCCAGTGGCAAACCAGCTACATTTTGTCAATCTAAGTCACGGATTCCACCCCCAAAAGATCCAACCTAAATCAATGGACAAAGTCTACCATTCTGGGGATGTCAATCACGTGAATCACGTGGAGATTTCCTCGTTGAAAAATCCTACCCTGACATGGGGCTATTTTTGGAGAGTTATCCCCGTATACTGTACGAACCAAACGGCATAATTTATGCAGAGTGGAATACTCCGTGATTGCCATCAAAGCAATCAGCATACGTTGTATTTCGGTCCTTCAAGAAGATTTTCGTGGAAAAAAGTGTGCTTTTGGACTCTCTGATCAAAATATGAAATACTCTCCGGTAATTTAAGATAGCCATGGAATCCATGGTCCATTGAGTCTAATGATTTACTTCTTAAAAATGGTGATTTTCCAGTTCGCTATTTAACCAATTACCAGAAAGTAGATCGTGTTTACAGCATAGTTTCCCAAGTTCACAGAAAAACTGGTCAAAACCATGAGACTCTGGGAATAACTCATAATGATGCCCACCTGGTACCCTCTGGTCATTTAACATAGTTATTGAAAATGGCCATTTATAGTTGATTTACCCATTAAAAATGGTGAATTTCCACAGTTCTGTTAGTTTACCAGAGGGTAATTCATAAACCTGAAGTTTAAAGTGGAATTTGGGAATTCAAAACATTGGCACAATGCCGCCCTCAAAACCTCATTCCCAACGCTGTTAAATTAGCCCTTTCCGGGCCAGGTTTTTCTCAACATGGCGAAAGCCGTACCCTTTAGATAGGAAACATGAGGATAGATGGGTCCCAGAAAATGATGGAAGGTTTTTTTGGAAGAAGTCAGCGATACGAAATGGTTTGAAAAAGTTCAAACTATCCATAGGACACCATTAAACTTTGGAGGCATGGGACAACTCCAACTTTGGCAGATTTTCCTGCGCTGGTTCCGTCGCCCGCAGCAACGTCGCTCGGCGTCGGCGCCAGAGATACGCTAGCATCAGCTATGTGGTTTTTGTGAATGACCTTGGCTTCAAGCAAGTAAAACCAAATTTTGAAAAAGACGTTTAGGCTATAGTTGAAAAGACAAGGATTGGTTTATATGTGAAATCATGTCTGTGCTTTTGGGTTTGAACTTCTTCCAACTTGAGATGGCGGAACTGTGTTGTTTTCTTTGGGAACTCTCCCCAGCACCTTGGCATTCCATGGCGCAGTGAAACAGCAGTGCCATCCAGCCACAAAACTCCCGCGCAACGCGCACGGGGTGAATCGGGGACCACCTAAACACCCTCACCTACAACCTGTGCATGTGGTTTGGTCCAAATGATGTCCTTTACGTGAATGTAATGTAAAAGTCAAAAAGGGCATATCCCCAAGGGCTATTGCGGTCACTGTGATGAGAAAAACCCAGACCATCTGTCAATTTCAACATATCAAGATAAATCAATTAGATAGGCCCTGAATTTACATGGAAATCGGGGTAAAAGTATAAAAGGATATAGAAACGATTGGAGTCAAGATGCATATTCATATGTAAACGTCCAGCAAGTAAGTCAGTAAACATACAGTAAATTTCATGTAGTTAGGAAATTCAATTCGTAGTTCCCCAGGTATCCCCAGGTCAAATATGGAATATGTATACTCTAATAGTTCCTTCCCTCATAGTCACACCGATTGTCATAATTTTCCCAGTCCGCGTTTTCGGTGACAAAAAAAAAAGATGATATCACAGAGTATATTCCATTAAATGGCCATTAAATCACCACAAGTAAACACAAATCAACGCAAATCAACACGAAAAACAACATTAAATTCAAAAACACACAAATCAACACAAAAAAAATATAAATAAAAAAAACGATTTTCACAATTGATCATGAGCAATCAGTGTCAAGTTACGATTTCTTTCCTTCGGCCGATGGCCCTACCTTCGCCCGCCTAGCACGGCCCCCCAAGAGACTCACTGGGCGCTGTCCCAGGGGATGCAGAGATCGGACCTCGGATCGACGTGAGCCACTTACAAGCTATAGTTCTTAATATATGCACGTATAATTAGTTATGCTTGGTTATACTTCGTTATGTGAATTAAGTGATTTCTAGTTATTACTTTATTTTTGCGGTGCAGATAGTCGTATTACTTGTTTGGTATGGCAGAAAAAACGACATTGCCCATTGGTTATTAGTTAATTATTTAGGGAAACTTATTGGGCATGGCTGTTAAGTTATCACGGAATGTTCATAGCGAAATATAATCATTGATGAGCTACTGGTCGTAGCACGTACCGGCTGATTCTTATTTGCTATAATTATTTCCTGCTGGTTTTCTTATTAGTGGCTCTTAAGTATACATGATAGTGCAACCCAGGTAGTAAGTATGTCAGTTCACACCGTTTACGTCAATACAGATCCCACTTGTAGATGCTTCAATGGTCATGTCTTTGGCGCTCTTTGATCATCTTTGATCCTTAATAACCAATACTACCCAATAATCAAGTAATGAGATGTTCATAACCAACGATTTCCGAACCTATGTTATGAACGATTACTTTACAAATTGTTATTCTTAAATATCATCTTACTGGTGCTAAACGCGGGGAATTGTCGGGAATGATCCACAATAACTGTCAATAATCATCCCAGCAACCCCCAGCAACCCATCCATTCACAAAACGCACCAGTAAGTAAACCAAGTATCCAATTTCTTCTTACCCTTTAATTTGGTTAACTTTCGTTAAAACACACCCTAATGGTGGTTAATGATGCTTACCATCTGGTGAAATGACTAACAGTTCGCCATGGAAAGATCCACCATGCTATTTAGTAAACGGTAAACCATCTATTTCGATTAGGGCCATCTATACCATGGCGAACTGTTAGTCACAACGAGAGGGTAAGATCCAAGTGTTTCGGGGCCGATCACAAAATTTTTGTCCTTCGGTAAACCATCGAAGTTTCGTCCAAGACACCCCTTGCCCTCCGCGGTGGATGCGACCACTAAGCCAACGATCAAGCCATAGAGGCCCAGTGCCTGTGGTGATGGGTTGGAAGATACCCGGCCTGGTCAACGTGAACAAAAAACGATGGAAAATCATGGAAAATCACCATTTTTAATGGGAAAACTATGGGAAAACTATGGTAAAATCACAATTGTTAATGGAAAAACTATGGGAAAATCACCATTTTTAATGGGAAAACTATGGGAACATCACCATTTTTAATGGAAAAACTATGGGAAAATCATCATTCTCAATGGGAAAACTATGGGAACATCACCATTCTTAATGGGTAAACTATGGGAAAATCACCATTCTTAATGGGTAAACTATGGGAAAATCACCATTCTTAATGGGTAAACTATGGGAAAATCACCATTCTTAATGGGTAAACTATGGGAAATCACCATGTTTAATGGGTAAACTATGGGAAAATCACCATTTTTTAATGGGCAAACTATGGAAAGATCCACCATGCTATTAGTGGGTAAATCAACTATTTCTATGGCCATTTTCAATAGCTGTGTATGTTTACCAAAGGGCATATGGAATATATGTGGCATATATGGATTTGAATGGAGTTGGTATCATGGCCATGACTGCAAATCATATGTGGTAAGTAATTATATAAATATATATGATTCATATATATATAGTATGAAGTCCAGTATCTAGGACGTTATGAATAGCGACTGACTAAAGTGGGGAGATAATGGACTCATTGGTATACCCTCCATTGGCTTGGAAATCTCCCAAAATGGTAGTGTTTAAGGCTTAAATCATCCATGATTGGGGCGGTCCAGCTAGCCATGCTTAATTACCAGAGGGTAAATTAGGGGTACAAGACCAATCAGCATGACGAAATTTAAATGATCAGCTAGCTAGCTAGATAGATAGATAGCTAGATAGATAGATAGATGGATAGATGGATAGGATAGGATAGGATAGGATTAGATTAGATTAGATTAGATTAGATTCGGTTGACAGGGATCTCCATCCTTCGCCCAAAACTCCAGTGGTGTTCAACCGTCAACCACCACAGCCTCCGCAAAGATCAGGATCAAGATCATGCCGACGAAGAGTCTGGGCCTCGGAAGCTTCCGTTCCGAAGAGGCGACCTGTTAAAAAGAGTCCCAACTAGTAATACACTCAACCAATAAATATTTATTTACATATGTATATATATATATATGTATATATATATATGTATATATGTGTATTTAATAATCCACTATATATCTATGACCCTATGATACCAATTGATGAACATCAACACTATATCTATGTATGTACTATATAGTTTATAATTCATTGATCTATATAGTTGATTAGTTGATCATTATTATGTACTGTATATATAGCATCAACAGTTGTATCATGTTATAGATATGTGGATATGGACTTTAATCGATACAATATCTATAGATATGCATTTGATTGACGATTTTGTCCATCTTTTTTCATCTTTTTTCAGAGAGTTGCTGGTACCAGTGGTACCAGTTATACATCCATAGACTAAACTGGTGGATGTCTCAGGGCTATTCTGGGGGAATGGTTTGATAACGGACAGATTTGATCAGCCAAACATCCTTTGGGGATGGGTCAAAACCAATAGTACCCCTGTAGTTCACCTCAAAATAGCTGGGATTTATGGATGTTCATCACCCTAATAATGGTACTTATAGGTATTGATCCATAGCCATTTCTTTTCGCAAACTCTGTGGAAATGTGATGAAATGTGTATTTTTGGATAGGTTCTTACCGTTGCAATGAATCAGATTGCAATTTCAGATTTTGCTGAGATTCGAAGACCATTGCATGTGTTCAGCCTTAGAGCCGATTCTTTTTCATGGTTCATATCTTCCAGTAAACTCACATAGCTATATAGAATTGCACATTTCATAGATGACTTGGCTATACTTAAGTATTAAAATGTTGATTTTCCATAACGTTAGTTTACCAGAGGGTATCTCGATTTCGCCTTACTGATGCTTCTGAATCCATTCAAAGATATTCAAAGCAATTAAATTACGAAAATTTCCGTGTTTGATGGTCGATATCCAATTCATCATCCCATTTTATCACCCATCACTCAGGAAAACCACCCAGCTAAAAAATCCGGATGTTCTTCGTGAAATCCACCATTTTCATCATAGTTTCCTATTCTTCAAGACTAAAATCCCATTTTGTCCATCATATTTTTTCCATGTTTCCATCATTTCCCTATTTAAAACTTAAAATCCCGTTTTTCTATGGTAAATCCCCATGGTTTTTTGTTCCCCAAATAATCCAAAATCCCCCAAAACCGTCACCGCCACGGCACTGCTGTGCGTTGGCGCGCACGCCGGCGTCGCCCACCACGCCGATGGCCATGCCGGCCGCCAAACTACTCATGCCCACCGTCAGGCCTGCCTCGGGATGAAATCCATGTGGTTTATTACCATAGTTAATATATGGTTACTAACTATATATGGTACTATGTGGTATATATGGAAAGTACCTATAGTTAGTTAATATACCATTTTTATTGGTTAATTCCCAGAGTTAGATGTATGGTTAATTAGCTATAGTATGGTTAAAATAGTTAATATACCATGTTTTTATTGTATGGTGAATATATGGTTAATATGTGGTTGGTTAGTAGAGTTAGATATCAATGGTTAGTTATAGATAAGGTAGCTATACTTATTTAAGTACCTATAGTTAGTTAATATATGATTATAGATAGGTTAAACACCTATAGTTAGTTAATATATGGTTATAGATAGGTTAAATATCCATAGAACTATAGTTAAATACCTATAGTTAGTTATACATATGTATAGATAGCTACATATCTATGTGGTATATACCAATATAGTTAGTTACATATATATGTATGTATATACACCATAGATATATCTGAGTAATTATAACTGTTACTATTTATAGGTATCAATGGCTAGTTTTGGTATACAGATATAGATATATAGATATCAATGGTTGGTTCTGGTATACTATAGTTTATATATTGTTGTTCATAACCATGGTATCTATGGTGACATACTTCATGTTATCTAATGTTATTTATATGGTGATATCATCTATGGTATAACAAATCAAAGTATAGTTATATTGTGGTATAGGTGTCATAAGCTAAAGTTATCTTTTGTTATAGATGTCAATGGTAACATGGTCTTCATGATGAAGATATTGTAGTTAGATCTAGCAAAGATGATCTACATAGTTATGATATCTAATTAGAGATGAATGGTAATAAAGTTACAAAATAGTAAGACTCTTATGAAATAGATATATCCGCTACAGAGTTACATAGTCACGGTATCAAATTAATGGCTATAGCACGTTATCTAACGGACCCGCTATTAACTTTGCCATTTCTAGCATTGATCCATTCATGACTTGGGGTATAGTTTAGATCAATGCCCCTCATCCATCATTGGTTCAAAACCCATTTTGATGCTTAGATTCAAACGGTTTTGGTTCATATGCCAATACTTTTTGAGCTCCCATCTATGAAGGTACTTTGGGATGATTGTCATTCTCCGGAGGTACTGGGTTGTAATGCCCCAGTGGTGTTCATCACCATTTGGTTGTTGATCCCCCATTGAAAGCCATGCTCATGTCCAAGTATATGGAACCATATTGGCCAAGAATCCATCCATTTTAGAGTGCTTCAAAGCCCATTGTCTGATGGGTCAATCCCAGAAAATTCATGCTTCATATCAGATCCCAATAATCTCGTTTCCATATACAAACGATTTTGGGGGATGGTTGCTTTGATCACCCCCTACTTCCTGCTTAAAAAAGGCCATAGGTTGCGGAGCATTTTCCACCACGGCCCCCCCCCAAGTGGGACCCCTGCTGCTAGGTGGGCGTAACCTGAATACGCCTTGGCTCTCCGCGATGGCGACGACGACGACGACTAAATCATGGAACTAAATGGATAATTGTCCACGGCTATGTTAATTTGACAACCAGTATATAGAGTGGTTATACACTAGACATGTATAAATAAATATATATATATACAGTACATTATGTACATAATATATATATATACTATGCATATATATATATTATAGTTCTCTATATATTTTTGTTTTTAATATGTATGTGTATGTATATAATATATATATATATGGATCAAAACCTATTCTACCATAGGCGGATGAACAGCCATTTGCCACTTCAAAACTGGTGTGAACTACAAGGTACCCTCTGAGCTCTCCGACCGAATAGGAGGGAGCGTGGATCTTACCTCAAATGAGCAGTGGAACTAAGACCAACATGCGAACATTGCTGGTTGGAAACATGGGATAGTTTTTTTAATAGTTAGTTGGAAACATGGTTATTTTAACTTACATCAAATGGTTAGTTTGGATTCCCTGTTCATTGTGATATTCCCCCAACTCTTGGATACATGGGATAGAATCGGATAGTATAAACATGTATAAACCCCCAATTTTGTGGCCCACTATGAACCAACTGGGCTTTCACTGCTCAGATATCCAGAGATCTCAAGGCCTGGATGCTGTTGTTTGAGGCTGAACAATTCCATGCTTTCTGTAGGGGTCAGAGACAACCCAAGGGTGATATTAACCCTTTGTGTGAAATTTACAGATGTGAAATCGGATATTCCTGCACCAAGATCAAGATTTCACCTCCACTTACATATCTGCCAGTCGCCCATCAATCCTCAATACTATTGGTCCTATTGGTGCTATTCCGAATAGACGGCTGAACGCAGTTGCCATGGGAAACAGGGGACCTTTACCTTGGCACAAACAGATAGAACAACTGCCTCGGCTTTAAAAAAATGCTAAAAATTGCCAGGCTGGAAGAGTTTTTCCCATCTGTTCGGGGTAAATTAAATTAATTAAAGAGAAAGTGAACTAGAAACGCACTATTTCAGTGCAAAAGCCAGGTGATCTCTGCAAATGACACATTCCCCAATCAGAAATAAAGCCATTGGTCAATTTGGGGATGATTCCCCGTTTTTTCTTACGACTCCAAGAAGGCGGTAGTTGATGTTGGTAAAGCAATCATAAACCATCCATAATTTCATGGGCGCACCCATGGCAAGATTGGGGATGGTTTATATCAACTCTGGGATGATTCCCATTCCCTGAATCCAGATAAATCCAGTACGCTCAACGGCTCAACGTTCACATAACGAACTGGAAAGATCCACCATTTTTAATAGGTAAACTATGGAAAATCACCATTTTTAATGAGTAAGCTATGGTAAACTATGGAAAATTGATGGGTAAATCGACTATTTCGACTGGGCCATGGCTTCAATCGCTTTTGTAAACGTTTACCAGAGGGTACCTATCAGTATCAATGATCAAACTATCCATGGGGATTTTGGTTAAATCAGTGAGGGTACATGTTCCATCAAAATTGCACATCAGAATCAAGCGGGATGATTTTTTCTGTAACCCCCAAGCCTGGAAATGATGGGTAAAACATCGGCGAACATCGAAATTTGTCGTGCCCGTCTTTTAAAAATGACCCGTGTACCCGTACCTGTGTCAGCAAACATGGCTGGAAAATGAACCATTTAGTTCAATGCTTTTTCCATATACATGTATATATATATATATGTATAGATAGATGCCCATATAGGCCACAGGGGATTTCCCAGCCAGCCACGTGTTGATGGCACCGGTAATCCGGCATCTCTCAGCTGATACCGGTAGGTTGTTGCATAGCTATGGAACATACCCTCTGGTTATGTCAAAATAGCTATTGAAAATGACCATTTATAGTGGATTTTCCCATGAAAAATGGTGATTTTCCATAGTTATGTGAACGTTTACCAGAGGGTAACTCCCATTTATAGATCATTTACCTATTCATTTACCTATTCATTTACCTATTCAGTTACCTATTACCATCATTAAAATTGCTGATAGTCCATAGCTAAGAAATTACCCCATCACCGCCAGGCGTCCATTGATGATCACCGCCGTGATGAGGCCGTAGATACCTAACCTCAAAAAGGCGAACTTATTGTGATCTAACAGCGGATTATGATAGATCTGATAGAGTAAATCCCCAACAAAATAGAAAACCCAATTTAAGGACTATAATATAGTGGGAGTTTCTCGATATTTTGGAGGATTGCATGGTTGCTATATTTTGACGCATGGTAATTTCGACAGCCGGATCTGAGTGAATTCACCAACTAAAATGGCAACATGCTGGGAATATCACGGGATATGGTGTGAAATAGCCGAACGTTGGGATTTTAATCTTCAAACATGTGAGGTTTTTCAGTTATTTCAGTCGTTACCAAAGATATGTTGCGAAAAATGATGGGTCAAGCTGAAGCAGCAAAATGGGTTGCCCAATGGAGTCATCCAAATATATATATATATACATATATATATATACATATATATATATACATATATATACATATATATATATATACATATATATATATATACATATATATGTATATATATGTATATATATATATGTATATATATATGTATATATATATATATATATCCGTTTTTTTCAGTTGGCTATTTCAGCTCCAGAAAGGCTCACTCCTCAAACGGATCGTCCCGGTATAAGCACTGGGATCCCCAGTAGGATTTCACCAGCGATGATGCTGGGATCCCCAGGGCTTGAATGATGTGTTTTAATGGGATTAAGCCTCTTCTAAGTCGTTGGAAATGGGACAGGTGGCTGTTTGGAAAATCAGCATTTTGGAATCAGTGCATACTAACTTCAACGGACCATCATCCACGGCCATGTTAGTTTACGGCTACTGTCCTTTGATTTTCCACATACTCCCATTGAACTAAACTCAATGGTGGATGATGTTACAATTATTAGACTTTGTAGTCTAGGCCAACGTTCAAGCTCAAACCATGTGGATCTAAATCTTTAGTTTCTCTTCAATTTGGGTGTTTACTAAAGATTTCTGTGACATGTCTCACTTTCCAAACCTTTCCAAACAAGGCAGGAATTCAGGTATCATCCAAGAGGTATTCCCAATTTAAGGCAGGAACTATGGTAAATTCTTTTCCGAATTTAATTTGTCATAGGATACTCCTCCTAAATAAAATATGACAAAAAGTTAGGTTAGTCATATTTTTTTAGAAAACAATATATCGATCGCAGTTTTTTTGGATCTGGAAATATTGATGTTACATATTCCAAATTTAGATATTCCAGTTTGATTCCATGTAATTGGATTTTTTTTCATGTGGGATTCCATATAGCCATATTTCTTAATGCTTAGATATTCCCAAAATCCCAGGATTGATATAGCCATTTTCTAATCATTCCAATTAAAATTGGGAATATCTAATCATTAAGAAATGTGGCTATATGTGGCTACATCTAATATAGCCACATTACTTAAAATGCGGATTTTGTGGTACACCCCATTTTCAGAGCCCAAAAAACATCTCTCCCCTGCTGTATCGTCCCACACACCAGCCATGACCACAGGAATCAGCGACCTGCCGGGGGATATACAGTATCTAGCGGTAGATTAATTTAAGTGTTGCATACCGTATATATGTATTGGATATGTATCCATATATATATATATAGTTATAATTGTATATGCGTGTTTGATATGTATACAATCGTGTGTATATACATATATATATATATATATATGTTATATATATATGTATGTTAATTACCAACAATATTGTATAGCTGTTTTTTGTAGTGGCTATCAGTGGTCACAGCAGTATAAGAGGGATATAATTTAACCAAGAAAACTGGGAGTATGATATTCCATGGGGTGAGCTGTTCAGCATTCTACGGGATGATATGGTTCAAAACGGCTTACTGTATACCATAGTATACCATAGTATACCAACTATGCTGGTGGATCCCCCCAAAAATGGAAAATGGTTGTGGGTCAAAGCCCTGGTAACTGAAACTATTTTGGGGTACCTAAAATAGTGTGAATGCATGGTACTATTCTCCAAACTATTGCAATAATATGTTTGACCCATCCACATATCCTTGGAAAAATATGGGCTTCCAGCTGATTTGATCCTACTGGATATGATAGCGCAACTGGTGCAACAAGTAGGTGACAAAGCCCTTTCTCTGAGGGGTGATCTCAAACTGGCTGGTGGCAGGGATAGCGCAATGATTGGTTGGCTGCAAATGGTTAGAGTGCCAAGCTATACGGGGGGTACAGGGAAACGACAATGTCACGCCTAAGTCATGCCGAGAGTGTTTTTGAATGGCATTTACCAATGTAAACGCTGTATCCATAAAGCACGCCTAAATGCCTCCAAAAAAAAAATGTTTCACTATAGGGAAAATGATGATGAACCCATGGAGTGTGGACTAGCAGATTTTCAGAGAAATCCATTCAGCGATCACCCCGTGACCCATCAAACCTTTCGCGAAACCCTGCATGACGACTTGCCAATGCGGAAGGGGATATCGCCAACACTGAATTCGAAGGCAAATGATCGTTCTTCCCAAACTTGACATCTGTCTTTCAAATGTTCTACTTCCCCCTTTTCGAAAATTATCAGCAACCACCAAAAAATCGAAAAACTGGAATCCTGGGAGAAACATCATCTACATCCTGGAAAATCGTTTACCCTGTGGTAAACTAACATAACTATGGAAACTCACCATTTTTAATGGGAAAACTCACTATAAATGGCCATTTTCAATAGCTATGTTAGTCATTACCAGAGGGTACATCCTGGAAAATTGTTTTCGGATCTTTTCGGGGCTCCAGATTGCTTTGTCCATTTCTGTGAGCTCAGCACTGTCTGTTTGAAAAAAAAAATGCAGGCAACAGCGGCATCATGTTTTCACGGCAAATTTTTAAATAGCCCTCCAAGAAATGCCAAGTTTGCTAGAGCAGGATTTACTCACTATTCCTGAAAATAAAAAAACTTGCTGAAAAAAACACCATCAAGCTAACATTCAGAAATGAAACCTGCATCGATCATTCAGCAATGGCACATTCACATAGCGATGTTCCCATTTACTGCTGGCTAAGTCTCCATGTTGATAAACTATCCCAATTTGGGCAGTGCCCGGCATTCCAATTAGATTGTTATGGGGATTCTTCTGGGGTTGTACCAAAAAAAAGGGCAGGCAACTCATATAGTTCTCAAGTCTACGATATTGGATATACTACATATAGTTCCTGCTAATAGAGTTGTAGGATATATCTCCAACTACACGACATGCATGCTTTTGATACTAACAGCTATAGTTCCAGATCTATGGCAGTGTATGGGTCGAAGCCCACATCAGAATGGGTGGCAAATTGGCATTCATCCCAATTCATCCCCCAAATGTGTGTTCTTAGCTGGCTAGTGTATATACATCCGCAGTGAAGAAGCTAAAAATAGAAAAAAGTACTTAAGTAGCCCTTCAAATTTTCCCCACTCAGATTTGCTCAAGGAACAAATGATATATAATAGTAGTATACCCTCTGGTAATTTAACATAACTATGGAAAATCACCATCTTTCATGGGAAAATCCACTATTTCAATGGTCATTTTCAATAGCTCTTTTGACATAACCAGAGGGTAATAATCCCAAGTCCTCATTCCTTGATTTCCCGGAAATCATTAACATCATCTCAGGAAACTTTGGTAGGAAAAAAAAAAACATCAATCAGTTAAGTCGCTGTATAATCCTAGTATATCCTATCAGGACCTATCCCATTACACAGCCACATGGTTGATTTGATATCCCGGTGTTTGTTGGCTAAAACCAACAAACATCCGGATGAAAAATCTACCAATTCACCTGATATTTCAGGCCTTCTGACCAGTTGGTGATGATTCCCCTTCATCATGAGTTTGGTCCGCAGTGAGTTCCCAACGGCCCCAGTCAGCGGCCTCATGACCATGTCGGGTCGCATGATCTGGCGAGAATAACGGGTGTCACACCATAGTCGAAGATGCACGTTGATGTACTGCATTCAAAACATATGAACGAATGTATGTATGGACATATACTATACTTATTACATATATCTATAAATGTATATATAATATCACATCACATCATATCATATTGTCATATCATAGCGTATCATATTGTACAAATATATACAAATACACTACGGTTTTTTCATGTTGTAATCAAATGTTCATGGTTTCTGTCACGTAATCCCCTGGTGAGTCACCATGCCTCTTAGAGAATGTATCTTGGGGAGCCCCATTTTCCCAAACATCATGGCCAGTTGGATACTCTTGGGGAGCATACCCTCTGGTAGACATTCACATAACTAACTGGAAAGATCCACCATGTTCAATGGCTAAATCCACTGAAATTTTATCACAAAATGTTCAATAGCTATGTAACAAATTACCAGAGGCTACATCCCATTATCCCCATGATATTCATTGAATCATCCGAAATCCCCTAGGCTTTTTTCAAGTGATCACTGGATCGATGGGATCTTGAAACTCTCCATTTAAGGTGAATTTTGGGGTTCTCCGTTTGGAAAAATCGCAATTAATGTGGTAAACCCATAAATCCCCAAAATCACCAAACAAATGGCTGGTAATCATCATCCGCAAATGGTAGGTTGATGGCGGTTTCTCACATCCACATGTCGATTGCTGCAGAGGTAGTTAGTCATCCTCTCCAGAGAAAAAAAAATCGGGAGTTTTGGAAGAAACCACCCAGCATTTTTTTAGTGGTTTTATACCTCCATGAAAATTCAAACCTTCCAATTTTATCCCAGTCAGAAATGTGATTTTTGGCTGGTTAAGTCTGCCATTTCTGACATCAACCAGCCCAGGTAAAACCCCCATCGAACTGTTCTCTTCTCAAAACAAGTGTTCCCCAACGCCACAAAAAGTTGCCCCTAAATCACAAGCTTTTCATACCCAACATTTCGAGCTTTGAAACCCCTATGAACTGAAAAAAGCACCCTCTGGTAATTTGTGACATAACTATGGAAAATCGCCATTGATTGGTTCGGTAAATCATCTCTTTCTATGGGCCATGGCCTCAACAGCGAACTGTAACAAATTACCAGAGGGTATATATCAATTTATCCCATTAGAATATCACCTGGTCATTCACTTGGGAATTCCATAGATATACCAATATGGCAGTGTGTCAAAACCTTGTACCCCTGTAGTTCACATCAAAATAGCTGGTAAATGGATGTTCATCCCCCTAAAAATGGTATTAATAGGAATTGATCCATACCCATATCTATCAATTTATTCCATTGGAATATATCCATCTTTTTTGGTTTCCAAAGTCAACCTGGGTACCCCCGGTACCCATCATCCGTGGTACGGCAAACACCATCCGACCCGGTGCCCCCAAGCTCCGGCACCCCGAGGTTCGCGATGCCCACGCCACTCTTGGCTGTGCCGTAGGCTGCACCCAGGTTGGCCAAGACCTGAAAAAAATTAAAAAAAATGGTGGTTTGATGGAAAATCGTCATGGATTTGTTTTTCCATTTAGTTGATGTTTTTCCCGTTAAGACCTGCAATTATATGCAATTGTAGGGGATTTTTCATTGTTTGTCGGTTTGTTGAGAATAGTCTTGAAGGAAACATCTCATTTTTTCACCAGGTTTTCTTGAGAATGTCGGGGGAAAAAGTTAGTCAACCAGGGAACGAAGAATTGCAAGTTCAACTACGAAGCAATGTAAGCAATGTTTAATAGCCCTAAATGACTGCTTCAAAAATGCAATAAATGATGGAACATCACCAAGTGAACAGCGACGGAGTTGACAAAAATTGACTAAAGATTACTAAAGCATTCTGGCTTTCCAATCGTGAGAACATGTGTTTGATCAAAACTGCTACTTCTGGTACAATGGTACAATATGTTGGGCAAATTATAATAATTCACTAACTTTAATAGTTCGGCCATCTGGGGATGATTTCCCTTATGAACCATGAGAACAGGGTTCGGTCGTTAGAATTTACCCAGAATATGGTATTTTGATAAACAGAATCTGGAAAAATTTAAGCAGCAAAAATGGTGAATGTGACCATTCCAACCAGCAAAAATCGTTGGATTCGACCCACAAAAAATATCAAGTGACTTAGTGGATTTGCCAGCATGTATCTGTATATATATATATATCATATATATATACATATCATATACATATACATATCATATATATATATATATACATAACATCAAACATTGTGGATTTTAACCAGCAATTAAAAAATTCTGTGAACTTCACCAGCGATCAAAGATGATGGAACCAACATGCCATTTTTCTGAGCGCCCGGCAATGGACATGCTGACGCCCAACATGCCATAAAAATTGGCCGATGGATCACACCTCGAAAGCTTGGGGAAATCTCCAATACCACGGCCGGTTTCACGGGAAAATCCTCTATATATCAGTGGAACAGAATTTAATGTGACAGGCCGCAGCATGGAGCTTCTGAGTGCCTCATGGAAAAAAAAATATATATACGTATATATATATATATATTGTGAAACTCCCTAGTATCTTGTGACTCCATTCCGACAGGGTTCCTTCATGTGGCCAACGTCCGGCCGTTCCGCTCTGCACTCTCAAGGGAGTTTGGGCAGAGGAGCCATCATGGTGCAACGGAGGTAAGGAGAAAAGGGGTGTCAAAGGGCTTGACATTCGCATTGGTAGCGGAGCCTACCCCTGGCTGCCGCATAAGGGATAACCTAAGGGGCTTTTTTGGGGAAGTAGGACTTCTAACATCAGTAGGTGGGGCACCTAGGATTTCACTGGACTGGCAGGTCCAACACACGGTTTTATTTTTCAGCTAGGTCTCTGAAAGACACAGGGTGTCTGACAGTGTCTGTGCCATGGCGGAAAGCCAGGCTGCTTCAAGTGGGACTGGGAGCGAGGAGAAGAACAATCTCTGGTCTTGCCTGCCGAGCTTCGACCCTCAGTCCGATGATCCCAAAGAATATGCTGACAAAGTGCATTTTCTGGAAAAGATTTGTCCAAAGAAGGACAAGGCAATGTTAGCACCACGACTAGCAATGTTAATGAAAGGAACAGCATGGGCTCAGGTGAGAGGTCTTGATGCTGAAAAGTTGATGGATGCTACCAGTGGCATCAAGACGTTGTCGTCAGCGATTTCAACGTGGGAAGAAGCTGAAGAACTACAGGTCTATGAGAAGTTCGAGAAGGTCCTCTACAAGACTACCCAACGTCCTGATGAGACAACACAAAGCTACGTGAACCGGTTGGCTGTGGCTTTCAACGAAGTCGAAGGCCGAGCAGTCCGAGATTTCAGGGCTTTCATCATGCTGAGGCAATCAGCTTTGAGCGTGGAGGACAAGAAGAAAGTGATTTCAATGATCGGAGATACACTGAGTCCGGAGAAGGTTGAAGGTGCCATGAGACAACTTTCAACTCGGATTCTGATGGGCCAGTCTGATGGAAAGAAAAAGGTGTACCCATTGAATCACGTGGAGGAAGAGACTGAAGAAGCCATGGTTGTCCAGGAAGCTGAGGTCTACGATGAAGAGGCCACCATTCAATGGCTTGCCGAGCAAGGAGATGAAGAAGCCTTGGTGGTGCAGGATTTTGAAGATCAATTGATTGAGGTGTGCCAGGAGAACAATGATTTGTCGATGTGTTTCAACAGTTACACAGAAGCCCGTGCCAAGATTCGAGACAAGCTTCGTCACCGAGGATTCTGGCCTCCAAGAGCTGGCAAAGGGAAGATGAAAGGAGGAAAGAAAGGAGGCCGTTTTGAGAGCTCCTTTCGCCGTAAGAATCTGAGTCTTGCGGATCGCATCGCCAACTCGTCATGCAGGAGATGCGGCCAGAAAGGACACTGGAAGCAGGAGCGTCCCTTACGTTCGCAAGACAAAGAAGAAGTTCACTACATCATGGAGGAAATGAACAACGAGCCAGAGGAAGAGATCCTTCATGAACTTCCCCCTGGAGTCAATTTGATGTCGACGGTAGAGGAATTGTTCACGTCGATGACCAACCAGGACAGCGGCACCGGGGTTCCAACATGTCCCTTTTCCCGAGTTTTTAAACAAGTTAATGAAGAATTCATTGAAACAGCCATGATGGTTTTTCCAACAAAAGAAAAATTTTCTGGTCACTGTTTGGGAAATATCCTCTGTGGGGCACTCTCCAGGAGAGCAGGAACTGAGTTCCGTAGTGTTTCAGTTTTGTTGACAGAGTCAGGGTGCCCGGCCATAATCGACACAGGGGCAAGCAAGACAGTGATCGGTCAAGGAAAAATCAAAGAGCTGCTTCGCAGTTTGCCGTCAGAGGTTCAAAAGAAAGTGAGTTGGAAATCATCTGAAATGATGTTCAGGTTTGGTAACAATGCCATTTTGCCAAGTATTGGTGCTGTTTACATTCCTTTTGGTAAACGTTGGTTGAGGATTGAGGTAGTCGAGGGTGAGACTCCATTTTTGCTTTCCAACTCATTTTTGAAAGCAATCGATGCTGATGTGTGTACATCGAATTCCTCGTTGCGGCTGAATCAGTTGTCCAGAAACGTTCCGTTGAAAACGAACTCCAAAGGACTGTTTGTGGTAGATTTAGCTGAAATTATTTCAGAGTTTTGTCGTGAGCATGATCTGGCAAACACGGAAGTTGTGACACATGTTAGTAGTGAAAACAAAACAATCCAACAGTCAGCAGCGATCACAGCAGCGACTGCGGCTCAACGTCCCAAAGATTCAGCAGCTCGCCCTGGTGATCGAGTTCAAGCAAATGACATCAGCCATGCCGAAGACCTATGTCGCGGCTTCGCTGGACATGGCGCTGCCCTTTCCGGAGGATCAGGCGCTGACTTACATGACCGAGGAAGAAGACCAGAAGATAGTGCGGCCACCGGGAATTCAGAACCTTCGGCAATGGGGAACAATGATCCTCCCGGAGGGAAACCACAAGGGCAAAACGTTCTTGGAGACTGTCGAGGGAGATTACCAGTACTCCATGTGGATTGTCAAACACAAGAACCTGTCCAGCGACTGGACGAAGTCGTTCCAGGAGTTTGTCAAGGCCTGGAACCAGATGACAATGTCCACAACGAGAACTACAGCTTTGGGGGCGAGTGCCAAGGCCAAAGCTCGACCCAAGATGTCCGAGGAGTGGAGCGACGTGGAACAGGAGCTGATTGTCATTCCCTCGGACCTGAAGTCAGAAGGGAAGATGGGCCAGAATTCAAAGCGTGGTCTGGCCGCGGAACCTGGAGATCAGATGGTGACCGAGGTGGATCAGGATCGAGTGAACCAACTGCAGGCACAGATTGCCGTGTTGCAGCGGGAGCTCGCCAAAGTGACCAACAAGTCGGCGATGTCATCAACATCGCATTGATCAATTCGATTGAGTCTCAGTTGACATCGCCAGGAAGATCAGCATCGAAAAATGATGTTCAAAACACAGCTCAGGTTATTGCAAAGAGTGAAGAACTCATGGCACACCTGGAACTCAGGGCGAAGTCCCTGGAACGGGAAGTGGCTGATCTCATGGCTTTGACAACTGAGAATGTCCGCAATTCGTCAAGGCCATCTTCGGGACCTGGTGCTCAGGGAAAACTGAATCTCCTTGAAATCTACTGTGAAGAAGATTCGCAACTTGTAAGAGTGGCCAACATGTATGGCCTTGCTGCTCGGAGATTCACAATCAAGGATGGCGATTTGAGCACACCCGAGGGCCAGAAAAGACTTTGGAAAATCGTGGAAGAGCAACAACCAGACCACATCTGGGCTTCACCGGAGTGTCGCTTTTGGGGCAACTTCAGCCGATGGAACCGCAGCAAAAGCACTGCCACAGCACACAAAATAGATGTAGGTAGGAAACATGAACAGAAGAACTTGACTTTGTGTGAGGAGTTGTACTGGTATCAAGTTTCTCATGGGAAACATTTTCATTTGGAGCAACCCCAGGGTTCTGAGGCACTTGTGCAAAAACAGATTGATGGGATTGTAAATGGTACCTACCGTACGGTTTTTGACATGTGTGAGGCTGGAGGTTTAAAAGTTCCACAGGGAAATAACTATCTCAGAAAAAGAACGGTTGTGCTCACGACATCCAAAGTCTGTCATGCCGCGCTCGATTCCCGCTACTGTACAAAGCAGCACTCTCACTGTCATATCAAGGGACAGTGGAAAATCAATGGACAGTGGGAAAACATTTCGGCATATGCAGCAAAGTACACACGTGGTTTTTCCAAGTTGGTTGTTGTTGGGTTTTTGAGAAGTTTGAAGTTTGGGGAGCTTCCCATGGAGTTGGAAGAGTTGTGTGTCCCTTGCAATGGTGTTCATGAGAGAGAACAAGAAGCTGCAGCCGAAGATGTTGTCAAGAGACGGCGCCTGAATTACAAACAACAGGAAGAAATTCCTTCAGCGAGTGATATGAGCTCCAGGTTTGGAGAGCAGTATGGTCCGGCCAAATCCTGGAAGGATTTGTTCAAGATGGCTGAGAAGCTAGCTCCGAGAGTGGGTACGGTTGTTGTAGATAATGGGGATGATTTTGTTTCTGGAGTTCAATTGTTGGTTGATGATTTTGTTGTGAAGAGGGTTGAAGTGTGTAGGGGAACAGAACGGTTTCGAGTACCCAAACAAGGAGTTGATATCGCCCCTTTAATTTACAGGCTTACCGTCATCCTCAACCGGGAATCAGGGAATGTGGAAGTTTTGGGAAAACCCGAAAAGTGGCAGGAATTACCCAAGTGTAAACAAATCAGAAAGGCAAAGCCTGCCAGGATGAGCATTACCATTTTTGGGAATGACATAGGGGAAGACCCAAATGTTGCATCTCTGGGGAAGAGCCTGGGTGAGGGTGACCGATCTGCCAAAATGGAGGGCCAAGAAGCCATACCATCCCTGGATATAATGATGCCGGATGCGTCAACAGGCGAGGTGAGTAAGGTGGCAGCTCCTGATGTTGAAACATCACAACCCAGCAGTTCCAAGGCTGATCAGGATCTGGATGTAGGAATTGTTGGATACCCCCCCAAAAGTGTACCTCGACATGGGCCCCAATTTTTGTCTTTGAGTGGAGAGGATAGAGAATGGGTAAGGAAGATTCATCACAGAATGGGACATCCAGATCCAAATCGATTAGCCCAGTTCTTGAAGAGCACACATGCGGCAGAACATATCGTTGCTGGAGCACTGGATTTCCAATGTGATGCCTGTCTCGAGACCCAAAAGGGGTTCCTTCCGTCCCGGCAAGCGGCTATCCATGCTGATTTAGGGTTCAATGAAGTTTTGGGCATGGATGTGGTGAGCTGGAGAAATGGTCGTGGTCAAGAGTTTCATTTTGTACATTTTCTTGATGAGGGTACTTTGTTTCATCAGGGTCAACCATGTCAAAGGGATGCAGATGACCAACTCCAGGCTTTGGAAAACACCTGGATATCATGGGCAGGTCCTCCTCAACAGATTTACACTGACCCTGCAAGAGAGTATACCTCGGAAAAGTTTTTGGGAAAATTACAAGAATATGGGATCCAGGTGAAAACCACCGCAAGGGACAGTCATTGGCAGCTGGGCCGAACAGAGATCCATGGATCAATTATCAAGCGCATGCTGGAAAGGATGGATGCTGAAGTGCCAATCAACACCAGTGACGAGTTTCGGGAGGGGTTGGTCCAAGCCTTTTGTGCAAAGAATGCACTATCAAGGGTTAAAGGGTACACCCCCGAACAAGCGGTTTTGGGCATTTCAAGAAAATTACCAGCATCCATCACTTCAGACTCTCAGCAAGCAAGTCATCTGTTGGCGGCTGGAGAGACTTGTGAGAGTGACCAGTTCCGGCAAAGCCTGGAACGGCGGAGCAGGGCACGGCGAGCTTTCATAGAAGCTGACAACTGTAACAGCCTGAGGAGAGCAATGTTGCGAAGGAGTCGACCACTTAGGGAGCCCTATGAAGAAGGGGATTGGGTCCTTTATTGGAGGCGTAAAGGTGGCAATCTTCGCAGGCTGCGTGGCCAATGGCATGGGCCGGCCAGAGTTGTCATGCTGGAAGGCCGCAGAGTCTGCTGGCTGGTGCATGCCAATAAACTGATCCGTGCAAGCCCAGAACAATTAAGACCGGCATCCATGAGAGAGTGGAAAGCGGTCAAAGATCAAGAGGATCAAATGCAACCAGTCAAAGACTGGGTCAAAAGGGTTGCAACATCCGATTTCTTCGACTTGGATTCCGAAGATATCCCACAACCAGAGGAGTCAGGGGAGATAGATGGGAATAGTTCTGGTTACACACCCTCGATTATGGAGCCTGAAGGGGAGATACCTGGAGAAGGGGAATCCCAAGAAGAAGAACCGGTTGAAACAAATGGAGTGAAGGTACCAATCCCTGATGATAGTGATGGTGATTTGTTGTTTGGGGATGATTTTTGTTTTGGGGATGTTCTGGGAAACAAATATTGGGAAATTGATGTCACTCCGAGCAACCTGCCTATGAAAACGGAACATGATCCTCATGAAATGGTCATGACTGCCACGGAGCTTAGGAAAAAGAGGGTTGAGGTGAAACTCAAAGATCTTGGAGAAGAGGATCAGCTTCGTTTTGCGGCAGCCAAAGACAAAGAGCTGAAAGCTTGGTTGAGTCATAAGACTGTTCAAAAGGCGGCACAAGGGAAAATCCCAGATCATGCCATCATGCGCTGCCGTTGGCTATTGTCATGGAAGGGGGCCAATGGGGATGAACCACCTGGAGAACTAGCCTTGAACGGCAAGAGAGCAAAGGCTCGTTTGGTTGTCATTGGTTATGAGGATCCGGATATCGACTCCGTCAAGAATGATGCACCGACCTTGACAAAAGACGGTCGTCAGCTGGTTTTGCAGCAGGTGAGTAGTTTCCGTTGGCCCCTGATTAGCTTTGACATTTCAACTGCTTTCTTGCATGGACGCGGCGATGGTCGAAATCTCGGCCTGCATCCGACTCCGGAGATACAGGAAGCTCTAGAGATGGGACCCACTGATCAATGTGCCCTAAATGGGGGAGCATATGGCAGGGTTGATGCGCCATTTCTGTGGTTCTGTGAAATCCGAGATGAGCTCCTGAATCAAGGATGCAAGCAGCACCTGTGTCTTCACGTATGGTGAAACCGACAAAAATGGAGAGTATCATCCTTGCGGCAGTATTGGACTGCATGTGGATGATGGGATCGGGGGAGGAAATGAAGCCTTCATGAACATGCTTTCAAGAGTGGAGAAACGCTTCAAGTTTGGATCGTTTGAAACTGGGGAATTTAAATATACAGGAATTCACTTCAAACAATGGGATGATGGCAGTATTGAATTTGATCAAATTGACTACATTGAGAGGATAGCTCCAATTAATATTGGGAAGTCCCGAAGGAGTGAACCGTCATGTGAAGTCACCCCAGAAGAACGAAGCATGCTTCGAAGCCTAATCGGGGCTTTACAATATGCTGCTGTCCATAGCCGTCCGGATCTAAGTGCCAAGGTAGGAGAACTCCAATCAAATGTGACCAAAGCCAAGGTAGAGGACATGATCATTGCGAATAAGGTTCTTCATGAGGCTAAGGTGCATAAGGTGTCATTGATGGTTCTTCCGATTCATCCGACAAGGGTCACTTTTTGTGCGTTTTCCGATGCCAGCTTCATGTCCACCAAAACAAGTGTGGCACATCAGGGAACAATCATCTTTGCAACCACCCCCGAACTTTTGGGAAATCAAAAGGCAGTTGTTGCTCCAATTGCTTGGACAAGTAAAAAGGTGCCACGGGTGGTGAGGAGCACTTTAAGCGCTGAAGCTGCAGCCTTGAGCAATTCTGTCGATAGGTTACTTTGGCTTCGCATGATTTGGGCTTGGCTGTTGAACCCCGAATGTGAATGGTCAGACCCAGAAAAGGTTCTAGAGGACCAGACACGAGCTGCAGTCGTCACCGATTGCAGGTCAATGTACGACATTTTGACAAGGACAGCCATTCCAAGTTGTAGCGAGCACCGCACAACCATCGAATGCCTTCTCATCAGAGAAAGGCTGAAATCCAACTGCGATATTCGCTGGGTGACAAGTCAGGCAATGTTGGCAGATTGTCTCACTAAGGTCATGGAGGCCACAGCCCTTAGACAGTGTTTGGTCTCAGGAAAGTATTCGTTGTTTGATGAAAAGGAGATCTTAAAGAATAGAGCTGACAGTCGACAGCGTTTGCAGTGGATCAAAGATCAGGGTCAAGCTGGACCAAATGTTTCAACCTCGAAAATTGAAGAAGCCACGGTCGAAACAAATTTCAAAGTAGATGTACAGTCGAATGAAAAGCCTCGAGATTTTTGGCAAACTGGACCTGGTGAACAGATCCGTAGGATCCATGTCATTCCTCGGAGAAATCGTTTTGTTCCTATAGGGGTCACTGAGTGTCCTGTTGACATCCGTGATTTGAGGGCTGTCAGAGAGACGCGAGTGAGAGGTGGAACTGTTGAACGTGACTTTTGGACGGGATCCAGAGGAGCTGCACCAATGTCAGAGTTTTGGACTGGAGAAACAATTTTTCACAAGAAACCTGGGAAGAATTTTGGGAATAAAGAAGGTGTTCCCCAATAAAGAAGGTGTGTGAAACTCCCTAGTATCTTGTGACTCCATTCCGACAGGGTTCCTTCATGTGGCCAACGTCCGGCCGTTCCGCTCTGCACTCTCAAGGGAGTTTGGGCAGAGGAGCCATCATGGTGCAACGGAGGTAAGGAGAAAAGGGGTGTCAAAGGGCTTGACATTCGCTATATATATATATCTATGTGATTGTGTGTTTTTTGCAGGTTGGAAATCAGATGGACATCTAAAGAATCCAATATGTTTGAAGACTTGAAATGGGAAATCAAAAGCTATGAAGATGATAACCAGAACATACAGTGGCTGGGAAGAAATGCAGATATCATGATGTGTTATAACTTGGAGATCACCAAGAATCATATGAGCTGCAGTCTTAGATGGGCCGTTGCAAAAGAAAAGACCATGGAATTCTCAACTGGTTATTACTGTTCCCAACAAAAAAATACCAAGTAGCTTCCCAAACAAGGCTAAACCAGAGAATTACAGAACATGGTCCCTGAAATTAGCTAGATAGGTGGCGACGCCGCTGATGCCCTGACAACCAGGATTTTTAGCGACGACCTACAAACCCCCACCCCCAAAAATCAAAACAGTTTTTGCAAACCCAAGGATCGGTCAAAACTGCTAGCCTCTGGTAATTTCTTACACTTCGCTATTGAAGCCATGGCCCAGTTCGAAATAGTTGATTTACCCAACTTAAAGATGGTGATTTTCCATAGTTTTCCCATCAAACATGGTGACTTTCTATAGTTTTCCCATTAAAGATGGGTGGATCTTTCCACTTCGCTATGGTAAGTTTCCCCCATGGCTTTTCATCGGATGAAATCGATCTCTAAATTTGGGGATCCTGCAGATCCCCAGGGATCACTGGATGGCGTCTACCAATCAGCTGGTTTCATGCGGTTTCCTAAGTCATAAGGCTACCTTGAAAAATCATCCATTTATAGATGGAAAAAAATTCTCCATGGTATACCCCATAAATTGGAAACCCCCAGTCGAAAAAAACTTGCAGGGCCCAAATTGCGAGGATTGTCCTGGAACCTGCGGCCCTGTAGGGAACTCAGCTAATGTTAGAGGTCCACACCACATCAACCATTCCATCGGAATTTCCATAGAGGAAATTCCGAAAAACCTTCCTTCAGAAAACATGGTACAGTGTACAGTACACTCCTTTGTCTGTCCCTCATAAACCATATCCCAACATATCCCAACATCTTCACATTCCCCAAATGTCTGTCTACCCAGTCGTCTACGCAAAAACCTCCAAAGGTCTGGAACTATCCACCGTTGAAACCCAAAATTATCCAGGGCAGCACCTGGGAAAGTTCAAAAACCAAGATATGCAATTAGAGGAATGTCATGTGTCGGTGTTTTTTTAACTCATCACCCATTCATCAAAAAACAGTCGGATTCTGATGAAACTCGATTCGTAGCTCCATCTTTGGCGACAGGATTTTCGTGTTAAAATCACCCAGCTTTTCCGACATAAAACCCCCATGGCTGGTAGGGCAGTGAAGCATAAAACCCGCCAAGGTACACAGATTTCGTCATTTCAAGTACCCTTTCAGCTGCACCTAGCATAGCCGACACGTGTTCCCCGCCCTGAACATCGATATGAAGAAGCAGCTGATATGGGGATGTGATGATACAAGTATATACAAGTAATATTAAGCAACTTAATGAGTTAATGGTACATAATGATTTAATTATAAATGATACACTGATCTAGTGATACACTGCTATATATAGTATATTAACACTAACATAGTGTGGGGATGCAATAGGATATATAGTGATATAACTGGGATATATAAACAAGCATTGACCAGCTTGGATACGTTCATGATGAATTGGCAAAATCTGGGGAAAATCCACGAAAATCCCTGGGGAGTTCGAACCCCATGAAACATTGCTGGAGATCTTTGCCGTGCCCCTTCGAAACACTCAAAAATTGGGGTGATCACATCAACCCTTCGGCGACGTCGCCGGACACATCGGACACCTAAACAACCCTGAGCCGGTTGCTACGGCGGCTACGTGGCCATCATGACGCATAAAAAATCTTCAACGAAGTGTAGCCATAAAGTTTACACCACAAACCACTTACCCTCTGGTAAATCAACAGTTCGACCCTGGCAGTCATCGGGGTTGGAAGACTAGTTTCTATTAAACATTGGCTATTTTCAGGGTCCAACTGTTTATTTACCAGAGGGTAAGATGTTCATTTTTTCCCATCACCAGACTGTTTCGTTAGTCATGACTTTTGGACCATCCCCTCGCGTTTTTCTGGATTTTTTTCGGGATTTTTTTTGAGTGACGTGGTTTTCCAAAAACAATAGCAGTTATGGCACGAAATGCCATAAGCACTCACAAAAGCCCATTTATGAAATGTATAAAGCCATTTATAGCCAGTTATATAAGTTATAACCATTTATAGATGATTCAGCTATTGAAATGCTGATTGTCATTGCAAACTGTTAGTTTACCAAAGGGAAGGATGGCCAATGATGGGATGATATGGGATATAATGTGAGTGAAACAATTTCATAAATCATTCCCGAGTCATCACCATCTTTATAGGTGGTATGGTTATCCATTCCCAGTCATGGATGGTTTATTAGACATTTTAACCACATTACCCAAATATGGATTGGGTACTTCTTAACCACGATTTCTCACCCTTCAAAATTCCCGAGGATCCTTAGTGCAATCCACCCCTTGCCCCTTCTGCCCACATGCCCTTGCCCGGCACCTCGACGTTTTTCCCTGCCACGAGTTTCCCAAAACCGGTCCCCGCGCGTGCCGCGTTCCACCGGGACCCCCCAAATCTAATCAACCTTGAATGAGATCAGCAGTCACAAGCAGTCACAAGCTGTTGGCGCCTGCACTTGTGGGGCCAGATCCAGCCGAGAATCCTGAAACATATCAAAACATGAAAGGCGTGTTTTCCAAATACATCCAGCTATGTGGAAAATATGTCAGTCCAAAAATGTCAAGGTAATCAAGGTGCCTAAACTGATGTGGTATGACTTCAACAGAACACCAACTGACCTTCCCCATCAGATATCCTTGGACCAATCCAACCCTTGTCATTCCATAGTCTGAGATAGCCCTACTGAATTCGTGTCCCCCATTGGTCAATCTTGGGACTCAGAACACACATAAAAATCTTGGGATGCTGGAGACGTCCAGTGCAAACTCCTGGTTTCTTTTGATGATCCCCAATACCAGCACCTGTAAAAAATCCCCCGATTTTTTATGGTTTTTGCTCACCACGGTTATGAATCATCCACTTGCCAGGACTATTTTGCGCTGCTAAAAACCTATTTTAGATGGTTGAATTTCCACTACACAAACCGGTATGATACCCACATGGTCGCTTCATACCCCTTCAAAGCACAAAAACACACTTATCATCACCAGCTGGTTAACCCAATTATATCTAGTTGGTGGTTTTGCCCATATTGAAAAATATGAAAGTCAATTGGGATCATTATTCCCAACATATGGAAGAATAAAAGCTATGTTCCACCAACCAGATATTGCAGAGCCAAATTTCCCATTCATCCATGGTAAAGGTCCCAAATCGCAAATTCACCCCCATCCCCAAGGTAACTATGGCAGCCATGGTAGCTTGAAACCCAGTGAATTCTCTTGGTGAATATCGGTTGGTGAAACCTTTCTTAATCTTCACAAACCATTCACCCCAATTGATCTCCAAACCACCACACGATTGTTATTCATCCCAAGAATCACAAGTAGCTTATAGCTCTGGTTGAAAAAATGTTCCCCCCTATTCTTCCCGTACCGTGGTAAATCAGGGGGGCTTGCCACAAGATAAAACAACTTACCAGTTGGTTTACCCCGATTCTTAATGCTGATCCCTATATTTTGTTGGGTAAACCCATACTTTTTGTTGGTGAATATACCGCCCCATCCAGTCAGAGTCTCCAGAGTCTCCAGTAATCTACTAAGAAATGACATGTTTCTGAGGAAAAAAAAAATGTGGCGGTCTGAAAACCACGTATCATCATCATGATCTACCCGGCCTGGTAAACGTGAACAAAAAACGAACTGGAAAGATCCACCATGCTTTTAATGGGTGAATCAAACTATTTCGACTGGGCAATTTCCAATAGCTAATTGAAAAATTTTGACATAACCAGAGGGTACCTAACCCCATCCCCCGTTCATAGTAAACACCTACATCAATGGTCCCAAAGATGTTTAAGGGCTTGGAAGGGATGGGATTGGTAGCAAGCTTGGATCCCTGTGAAAGATCAACCATGAGAATGAACCACATGATTCATCAACCATACATCATTCTTACGTTTTATTGGCTTTTCACCATATCTTATCCCATTTTTCTCTCACTTTAAAGTGTGGTTTCCACAAATATCCCATATATATATATTTAGATCCCTATTTTTACTGGGTTTTACCACCATCATTCCTCAACCATCAAAATGACGAACCAAATTTGCTCCCTTTTTTTTCCGACGCCACGCATCACCGCGGAGCGCGGAACACAGCCAAGGTCCTGGAAGCATCCACCGAAGAGTGGGGTGGGGTAGATTATTTGTAGGGATTTTATAGTCATTTAAGCAGCAAAAATATGTAAACCTATGGCAAAATGGTGATTGAACGATTTTTTTTTTGGTTCAGCGAAAAATGATGGAATGAAGCAGCGAAAACGGTTGAATCAACCAGCGAACGTGTAGTTTCATGTACTTGATTCTCAACTACAAATGCAGATTTCAGCAGTAAAGAATGGGAATATACTCAACAAACGAGGATGGTTAAAAAGTGAAGCACCCCTTGATGTAACGCATCAAACCTGCGGTGGTTTGAAGAAGACCGAACGATCTGATAGTGGTGATCAAAATTTAGACCAATCCAACGCAAATGTTGTCATTTTATGTCACTTTTGCATTTGCCATACAAGTTTGGGATTCAGAAACCCCCAAACAGCTGCCAGTTTCCTCAGCAACTCCCAGAAAGTACAATGTTGAGAGTAGTCTCGTAGTTGTACAAGAGGTAAAACCACAGACCATTTCATTCAACCACTGAATATGACGAATCCTAGACACCCTGCAAAAAGAAATGAGCTGGTCAGATTCAATATGTATACAGTGTGGACATATTATATACATACATATAGAGATAGAAGGTGTGTATATACCTATATACAGTGTATGACTATATGTATGTATGTATGTATGTATGTATATATATACACTAGGGACTATATATATATACATATATAATCATATATAATTGTATATATATATGCGTGGATGTCCTCATTCATTTATATCAATTGACCCATCTGCATGTCCTGGCGATGTAGTCGATTTCGCAGCCTTGTCTGACCACCTGCTGCGGCTCATTTTGAGGGACACCATTTGTGACCTGCATCCACTTCGTTTCCTGATTCAACCCACAAGATCATGTGTATACAAATATATATATATAAATTAATATACAATTATACCTATAGTTAGATATATATATACTGTATACAGATATTATATATGTATATGGACTTGTATATGTATATATAATGATACATAGATAATCATACATACATATATATATATATACATATATATATATACTCACAGTCTTTGATGCCCAGTTACATGTCTTTGGAGAAAAGTTTGGCCACGGGCCAATCTTTCTTGCTGGATTATCTCACATGCATGCATTGATGAGGATAAGTAGTTTAGATTCTACCAGGATTGATCCAGAACTGCAAATAATTATTGGGTCTAGCACAGGAAGCACATCATTCGTTGATCAATATGATACATCTTGAATCAAAGCACATAGATCAAAGGCGCTTGGTTTATTTGGTTTCCCCTTTTCAGATTCGGATCTGCATCCCGTTGCAATAGCCCTCAGAAATGCCCCAGTTATCGGTGCTTGCATGTGGCGGCCCAAAAAATCACTGGGATCCCCAAGTAAATCATCCAAAAAAACTGATCGGGCGGCCCAAGGAATCGTGAATCGTTCTTTGAAACACAAAACACACACCTTGGTTTTACCCTTCGAAGCAATGGAGAGTTGAAACTCGCAACTGCAGTGCTGGGAAGTTGAGATACGTCTCATTTCCATATCAAGTTTCTGGACCCGAAACCGATCACGTGGAAGATTGCCGATTGTCCCTGCTACAACAGCCCTGCTCCCACTTGCAGGGCTGGGATTCAACCCCCAGCCCTGATGGTTACGACTCTTGAGATGGAAACCCCCAGATCGCTGTTGGTTTCTTTCTCTCAGCTGCTCGTTACGTCCATGGCTAGACCGGAACTCTGGAACTCTGGAGAATGTGTGTTGCTTAAAGCCCACTCTTAGATCCATCAATATTGCTTTAGATGAAAGCTGTACTATAATGTGTTTTAAAGAACCCTCCAACTATTTAAAAAAAAAAAGTTTAGTAGATATCTCAATCTCATATTGCCATTTTCACTATGGATAAGTTGCGTCTCCGTTGTGCTATGGCTCCAATCTATGGTTGACCCAACCAATCAACGGAGACGACCCTTGCGCAACCTCAGTGGCATCTTCGTCCAGAACGAAGCCCGTGGACTCCTGGACAAAGTCCTCGGCGACTCGGAGAGAACGGGATCTCTGGGATCTCTGGGAGCTCTGGGATCAATCTGACTGGGGATGGAAAACCATCTGGTTATTTAATGATGGTTAATGATGGTTAAAACACCCCCTAATGGTGGTTAATGATGGTTACCATCTGGTGATTTAAGTTACAGTTCGCCATGGAAAATCCCCCAAATCAACGGAGGTTTCTAGCTGGGAAAATCATCTATTTCGATTAGGGCCATGGCTTAACCATGGCGAACTCTTAGTCATCACCAGATGGATCGCCAGGGGATCACCAACATCAAAAATACGATTCGGATGTGTCTGACAATGGTGTTTTTGGATAGTCAAATAAGAAATGGTTGTTACATGTTGTCATCATGTTCCACTCCATGACTCCGCTGTGATGATATCCGCCTGCTGTTCAGCGAGTCCATGGTTGTTAGAGATGCTGCACAGATCAATCCCCTGAACTGTTGCGTCCATGAAAGAAAAAACATGCGACTCAAATCAATGTTTTTCATTGGATGGATAAAACTATATACAGTAATGTTCGCGCTTCAGATCTCTCAATTAGATGAAATTAGAACAATAAGCAATCTGATAACCAAGCATTTTGGGGGTTCTCCCAATCCTAGCAATCATTACTCATCTAAATCTCCCCAGTCCTTCCGTTGGTTTACTCCCAATTTCAGCAGCCTATCCCCATGTCATATCATCATATTTAAAAAAAAAAAAACAATGAATATGTAAGCGTTCATATGTTTCTGCAATTCATAAACATGATGTCCAATCTATTTTCATGTCTAGTTCTCAATCATGCACTTACCCGGATTCTCGATACTTGACCTTGCATTTTGTGTTGGTTAACCAGTTTATTGATCGTTAGTTGGTTGATGTGTTCGGTTTACATATCAAAAACTATAGATTACCCTCTGGTAAACTAACATAGCTATTGAAAATGGCCATTTATAGTGAGTTTTCCTATTAAAAATGGTGATTTTCCATAGTTACGTTAGTTTACCAGAGGGTAAGCATCAAAATCATCACCTGATCCATGTCACAAACCCAAAGCCTGGGAGTTGGATTCTTTAGTTTCTGTTCCTTTCAGGTTGTTTACCGAAGTTTGTTGAGATACTCTCAACTATTAGGTGAATAAGTTAAGATATGTTAAGATACAAACATCCATTTTTGATGTACCCTCCGGTATTTCCCATTCAAACCTCCGTTGATCATTGATTTGCCATATCCGGATGAGAAAAAAATTGAAAAAATGGTTCTGTTGATAATTGATTTGCAATAATGGAGATCCGTTTGTAAACTCCTTTGATTACCGGAAGGTGGTTTCTTTGGATCCCTTGGATCCGAAAAAAAAAGACGTCGCCAGGGCGCCACAAATTCGCTTCGGGAGAGGCAGTTCACGTGGCCGATGCCCTCCCAGTCGTCAGACCAGGACATGACCAAGCCCTGCGATGATGGGTAGGGTAGCCATGATGTCATGGTGGGTTTAACATGGTTTAACATGGTTTAACCAGCAACTAATAGGATAACTCGTACGGTTGATGATATCTATGTGGGTATAACCCATAAAAATGAAGATGGTTATCCATTTTCAATCATTTTCATGACCATTAGTTGTGGTTTTCCCATGAAAATGGTGGCTTGAACCAGCAACTAATGGGACTCGTACGGTTTATCCATGGGACGCGGAAAGTATGTTCCTGCAAGGTGGGGCACCCAAACGATAGTTGTGAAGTTAACTGGGCTAACTAGGTTTTATGGGATGTGCATATACTTATATATATATATGCGTAGTATGTATGTATACATATATACATATATGTATATAGATATATACATATATATATATATATACATATATATATATATACATATATATATATACATGTATATACATATATACATATACATATACATATATATATATATGTGGTTAATGGAGGTTATAAACGAACTTATAACTGGAGGCCCCACCTTGTACCGTGTTTTGCAACCTAACTATACTCTTTTCGACACAGGGTGCGACGTCAGCTGTCTCGGAGGTGAATATCCCATGATAACTAGCCATATCTCCCAGGACTTCTCTTTGATACATAATGATACATATATATATGTATACAATATAGCTAGAGATCCAATGATTGAGTGGATATCCCAATGATTTTGCATAGACAAATTAGGAAAGCGATCCACAAATAGGGGGTGCTGGGATCAGTTTTATCCATAGGTTTTAGCGGCTACACGTCTGATCCAATTCTCGGCTGGAAAACTGGCTATATAAAATGAAGAGGAAAAACTGGTTGAGCAATAGAAGTATGATATGATCATTAATGTCAACCCTGGACTAATAAACCCCAAACGGTTGTTTAATTGGGGGGATACTATTTAAGTACCAGATGAAATGACTATTTGGGGAGTACACCCCTAGTTAATGAACCCTAAACCAGTATGATTTAGTCTCATCCGGGGTTGACATTATCAATGATATAGATCAATATAGATCTAGCCCTATGGAATCTCAGGGAATCAAAAGTGACATGTGCAGAATGGACCCATCAAAACCGGAGTTTCGATCCAACATTTCTGGTTTGATGGATGGAACAGAATGTTCATAATGATTCATAATGTTGGAATGTATGATTCTTTTCCAGATCGAACCTCGAAATCTTAAGGCTGAAACACCTAGCTAGTTCAAAAAAGCGACTTCCAAGCCCCAGTCGACCAAAATTTCCCGTGGAGATGGCCCCAAATTGAGCGAATCATTAGACCCACATTCAAACGTTTAGCGTACGCCACACAATGATTCCAAATGGGTGTCTAATGATGCTTGAAAGGGATTGTTGACCAACAATCCAATGAACAATGATATGCCATGGTTGGATGAATCCGCTATATTTATTGATCATTAAAACTTCCATCTAAACATCACAAGATTCGAAATCCATTGAAGAATAGTGGGTGTGTGTGTGTGTGTTTGCGTGTGGGTTTCTAATCATTAAACACCATTAAACACCATTAAACAGCATCAAACACCATAAAACCCATTAAAAACACCATAAAACCCGTTAAAACCTCCATAAAACCTCCATCTAAACAACATTAAACATCATTAAACCCACATGACATAAACCCACTATTCATCCACCGGATTTCATCACGACCGGAGTTCATTGCGTGCCTTGGAGCTGTGCCGTTTTAAGTTGGCCAACAGGGTTGGAGCGTACCTGAAACGACGCGTAGCGAGGGGCCCTTTTCAGTCCAAAATGTGGGAAAGCTTACGCGCAGACTCGCAGACCAGGCGCCCAGAGCCGAATGCACACCAAAGGCGACTACGCCTCCGATATGGCCGCAGTCACTGCTTCATTTTTTCCTCCTGTAAGCGCGCCGCGACTCTGTGGTCATGTCAGAAAAGATTGGGCTATCAAGCGCTGATCAAAGTGTTGTTGCTCCTACATGGTCCAGCAACTTTCAAGCGGAGCGAGCCCGGTGCCGTACATGTCACATCTTACAATTTGACACAAGGCATCTTCAGGTTGCTATTACACATGTCACCCACTGGACAACTCATGGGCGGAGTCTCCCCTCCATCGTCATGATAGGAGCACACCCCCTGCAGATGAAGGTGTCATTTGCACCGAAATCCGTTGAAAACCTCTCCAGAGCCCCCGCTGAAACGCAATCTGCTTTGCGCACGCAGCATGAACACCGTGACGGTCCGATTTTCCACTTGGTTCGGATCAAGCAAGGAACAAAGTCCGAGTTTGACTGCACCCGTGTTGAAAGGGACAAGCAGACCCAAAGTTTGGATGCCTCATCGCACATGACTTTGAAATACATTTTCCCACAGGATGTGCAAAGGGAGGGTTGAATGTGAGCACTCATGTGACTGGAAGAGTATTGTCGCAGGAGCAAAGGCAGGCTACTTTAACACCCCTCAAAAGATTCCTACACGTGGGAGGTTATGGACGCTGCTCAAACAGGATTCCAAATCACAACCAAAACTAGCCTGTGAATCAGCGTGCGCATTCATTCGGCTGGCGCAACAAGAGTGAAGCGGCTTCTCAGAGACAGTTGCTCAGGGGCAAAAGCACTGAGGCTGCCAACGCTTCGATTTACATGCCGAAGACACTTACATCGATTTTCCTGAATGGTTGCGGTAAGTTGTACCCAATCCTGGCGTCAAATTTGGGACGCGAATTGCCGGACAACAATCCATGTCCATCACGCCCATGTTCCCAAAACGAATGCCAGTTGCAAGATCAACCCACCTTAGGCTCCAAATTGCCCACGTGGGGAGACTTTGTAGAGGTTCCAAGCCTTTCTCCGCTAAGGATCATAAGGATTGGGAATCGCTGCCATCCAAGAAAGGCTGCAGCATGTGAGCTTGGTCCCTGGCTTTCCAGTCGCCATTCAAAGCCAGGTGGAGCCTTAGGATGATGGCAGTGCCTATGGGCCTGGCTTTCGATTCTATTTATCTGTGTCATCATTATGTGAAATCTATACCTTCTGTAGCTGTTCGACTTGGGTACTCTTTAAGTGACAGTCAGGCCGGTCCATGCTTGTCTTGGTTCGCAGGCCAGGCTATTCCTCCCATGCCTGGAATTCTTTTATCCAATCTCCCTATCGATTTACATCTGAAAGATGCACCCACTCCGGAAACCGTTCCAAAAGCACAAGCAAGTCTTCACTCGTCCAAACTGAATTGCAAGCCATGCTGCTCCTCTCACCAATGAAAGCTGCTAAATCATCCAAAATGCAATTGATGATACGATCTAAACCGACCCATGTGTAGCTGCATGCGAGCTTGACTTGTGGCTTTCGGGGAAAATGGTTTCAGGCCAGCCCTAGACTCTGCGTCAAAGGCCTTAGTAGTTCTGAATGCGCTAAGGAAATGCTTACGCCGCAGCTTATGCTCTGCTTATGCACCCACAGTCTTAGCTTACGTGCAGGAATAGCTGACTCTCATGATTACGCGGGCTTACACACACACCGGGTTTTTGCTTACGCAAGGTCCTTATTGCCTCTCTTGCTAAAAATGAACAAGTGGGTTTTATTGCGTTTTGAAAGTGGCTCAAATTTAGACTCATCATGTAAGATCTGCGCGTGCTCTCGCTGTCCAACTTGTGAACTTTTCAGAAGTGAGCCTGGCTTGGTGAGAAGGTTCGGCCATTCCTTCCAGCAGAGCCATTCTGAAAATCTTCAGTCACTCCCTATGTCGTATCATTTTGGGTACGCCAAAGCTTACGCCATGCTTACGCGCGTAGAGCTTTTCCTTACGCGAGGCAAATTGAGGAAACCCTTACGCGAAGTCCTTACGCGGCCTTACGCTAAGTGAGGGTTTTGCTTACGCCAAAAGCGTTATGACAAGGCCCTTACTGAAAATGTAAAGGGAGGTTTTTAGAGCGGCTCGACCTGCATTCTTCCGCGCGTAGAGGACTGCACTGCCCACAGCTCTAAACTCCTTGGCCAGGGCCAAACCGTAGCTTTGGACCCTGACTCTGCTTACACTCTGGTCTCAATAGTTCCAAATGCACTCTTTCCCGCCAAGCCAACAGAAGGTCGTCTTGCGGTCACCCTGTGCGCACATGGTTGCTTGCCTGCTAAAATCAAGTGGTGAGATAGGAATAGAATGACTGCAGTGCCTGCGCCCCTGACATTGTTTGCATTCTTCTCAAGAATTCGAAACGGGTTCCTCATGTAAAATCTGCCTGCCTAGCTGCCGATTTGTCCAAGTGAGGGACTTTGTGGCAGTTATAGTCACGGACACCCAGTTAGCAGGAACCAGCCAAAGCAAAGTAGTAAGCAGGAGGGTATTTTAGGGATTCATATAAGGTCCCGTTCGGAGCCCCGAGCTGCTTACTGCCCTGGTCAAATTATAGGGAGGGTTCCTGCTTACTGCGTTGTCCCTACTTTTCGTGGGGAAGAGGCTCGGTACAAGGCAATGTTTTTTTCCCCCGCATGATCTTGACACTAAGTCTACTGTACCTGTCTTGACACTAAGTCTACTGTACAAACACTTCAGGACAACGGAGCTGTAGTAAGCAGATTCTGAAATTGTCTTTGGTGTATATGTTCATATATCTGCTTACTACAGGTGTTTGTACTTAGGCCTTACTTAGGTCATTTCTTATTTGCCTGATTTTGGCCTCTGGCAGATGCAGTAAGCAGATCAGTCTCTGCTTACAAGGCGTCCCCGACTATAAGATGCCTGCATGACTAGGACTGGAGCTGTGGACAACCGGGCATGTCTATCATGCTTATCATGCCCATGTCCCCAAACAGCCGCCTTTTGCAGGATCGATTTCTCTGCCAAGTTATCCAAAATCAAATAGCGGTTACAAATCGTGCTATTAAGCTTGGGATTGCAGGCCATGTTGGTCCTTTCAGCGCATGCCAAATCGCTGACATCTAACTGAGACTGCTACCCTGTTCTTCTTCGATCGTCGGATTTACGTCCCTCCAGGTAAGGACATTGATTTGTACTTAGCGGGTTAAACAGTTAGCGACTATTAATTGTGTTTCCCTCAGGTTCCCTGGTGCAAGGGCCAGAGCGCAAGACCCGGAAGAAACGATGGACAAACTAAAAGACAATCGATAGGCAAATCATAGACAAAATTTGAGCTGCTGAGGGCCCCCCAAAGCGGATTCATATCCCATTTCATTGATATTCTGATATTCTTATATTTGATCATGTGTTGAAAGTGGTCAGTAGACAAACGGTTGAACGGACATCTATGTCTGTAAAAGGGGCACGTAAAAGCGTAGCACCAGTACTAATTTCCGTACAACCCAGCTAGCCAAAAACGATTGGAAATTGGAAGAAATTGGTCTAACAACCTGCAGGCCATATTTTAATCAATGGCAATCAATCGCCCTTATCTCATTAATAGTCTTTGGCACCACGTACGTTAATTTGATGTGCTTTGGAAGATTAGGGGCTATCTACACCAATCCGGATGGAGTTACATGTGATCTTGCCTCCCAGGGTTTTCACTGAAAATTGTTCTGCACCAAGTGGTGAGCTGTAGACTCTAGTTTCATGAAAGCAATCCTCATGTAAAATCTGCGTGCTCTAGCTGTCCACATTGGGACGAGCTTTAGAGGAGTGACAAGCAAGCCAGTCCATACTTGCCTGGTTTCGTTCCGAGCCCATGTTGTTCCTTCAAGCACATTCAAAATTGCCGTCCCAGCGTGGGTTGGCACGTACATTCAGTCACCTGCCTGCAGCTTAAACTGGCTTCTTAGAGAAAGTGGCTCAGGGCAAAAGCCATGGCGCTGGTGCCAAAAGTTTGATTTAAGTGCCTGCCTGCCTGCAGCATAGATTACCAATTGGTGTCTCGTCAAAGCCAAACGCTCACATCCCCAAACAGCCGCCTTTGCTTGCATTCCGGGGGTCAGGTGAGAATCATTGGATTCACCTTGTACCAGCATCGAAAGAGGAAGGTACCCCAAAACCTCTTGCATGACCAAAGCACGGCTGTCACAAGCATTAGGGTGACCCGGAGTTGCTTGCATTCCGGGGGTCCGGTGAAATGGTGTGGGTTCACCTTGGACCAGCCTGAGCGAAAAAAAAAGATCTGGGGGCTTTTCCGGTGGCTTCGACCTGGCAACACTTCGCCCAGCTTTCCAATGCATCCAGAAGTGCAGAACAACTGGCAGTGGTGCCTGATGTACCTGGCTGACTCCACTGGACACCGACAACGGATTGTGACTGAAACCATCCATAGCCAAAATCAACAAGCCTACAAACCCAGTCGCATTGTGACTGGGCAGGTCACGCCGTTACTTTCAGCGCCAAATTGCTGTCATCCAATTGACACTGCTATCTACACCAATCCGGATGGAGTTACATGTGAGCTTGCCTCCCAGGATGTTGACTGAAAATTGCCCCGAACCCACCTGAATTCATGCGCTCTAATTGTCCAGGCGGGGAACTTTTCAGAAGTGAGGAGAAGGCCGCCTGCCGGCAGTGTGATCTGGCTTCTCAGAGAAAGTCAGGAGCATCTACAGCTTTAAACATAGTGCCTGCGAATCGACTTACATGCTGCAACCCCGTATCAAAGCTAGCAACTATTCCCCTGCAAGATCGGACCTCGCGCAGCCTTCAATTTCAGTACCTGTTCTGGAAGCAGAAGCAAACCTTTACTCGTCTCAATTGAATGTCAAGTCACGTCACACTGTTCCTTTGCAGAATTGCTAATCATCAAAGCTACAGCTACAATTCACAATGCTATCCCCGCTCTCCACGGAAAATGGTTTCGGACCATCATGAGCAACGATGAGTGTGCTTGTGGCTCTAGACTCTGCTTACACTTCAATAGTTCCAAACGCACTCTTTCCCGCCAAGCCAACAGAAGGTCGTCTTGGAGTCACTCTGTACGTACATGGCTGCTTGCCTGCTATAGGTGTGCCCACTGTCTTCTCAGAAAGAATGGCAAGATGGCATAAACCCGGGCAGGGCGCTGGTATGAAGGCATTGCCAACCGCTTCAAGTTCACATGTCTCTCAAAATTTCAGCTAGTTTTCTTCTGCGCGATCTACCTGCTCCAGCTGTCAGTTTGAGGGTTCAGAAGTCACCAGCCGGTCCGGACTCGGGAATTACAGCTCCTGTCTACTGTGGTTATCTCAATTGAAGCCAATGGCTCGAAGAAAAATGAACTACAGTACAGGCCACGATCTGCGCAGCCGAGGTCTGCAAACCAAAAAAACTCTCCAGTAGCCAAATCTTCGTTGTCGAGGGGCAAAAGCACGAAACTTGATCACATGGCCTAGTGAGGTTCAATGGCCGCAGTGCACTGCGGCACTTTTGATGTCAAACACTTCCAAACTCAGATTTCATCACGGACATGGCCGTGCTGGGAGTCTGCTCACAAGTACCCAACACCAGGCATCGCTGAGGCCTATCACAACTTTTGAATTGTGGTCTTCGCAAGTTTCAGTTTCGAACATCGCCCCCAGGACATGCCAAGAGTTTCTTGACCCTCAAACTTTTCAGGCAGGAACTTTCACGTTTGCCAATGGCTCGACTTGGCTGAACCTGCATAGATTCAATGATCCCGGTTGCCTCATGTAATATCTATCATGACTCATGACCTGAAGCCAAGTTGCTGGGCACCAGCTGTACATGAAAAATTGACAGCCTCTAGAGAAATTAAGGGTCCATAGTTGTCTAGATTGGGTTGTACGTCATGTTGTTTCTTCCAGCACGTATCAATGCTCCCCGAAAGGTACTGCAAAATCTGCCTCATGCAGCTGCCCAACTTGAAACCTCTCAGGAAATTCAAGACCTCAACTTGTCTGCATTGAAAAGCAAGCCATGTTCTGTCATGAAACCACAAAAATGCTGTCTCTGAGTCGGCGTGGGCGTGCAAATGGTTGAAGGTCCATGTTCCCAGACGGCTGCCTTTTGCAAGATCCCGTCAGCTCTTGCCAAATTGTGGGTTCTTTAAGCAGCCACAAGCCAACTTGTACTGCACGTCATATTGTTGTTTCACGGCAGCCAGATCATTTCACCTGAACTGGAGCCTCCTTGTCTCTGGGCACAACTTTGGCTTGGGGATGTCTTTCGGGAGCCACAAGCTAATCTATATTGCACATTATTGCACGTCATTTAACGACAGACAAACTATTCGCCTCAATCGAAGCCTCGTTGTATGTAGTCTCTGGGCCGAGGCTACTTACTAGTGCCACGAGTTCGTGGCCGCGGAGCGACTAAGCGAAAATTAGTTCTCAAATGGGGAGAGGTCAAGGCCCCTTGAAAACCAATAGATTTGGGTATTGTTTGTATCAGTTTAACAACCATCAATATTAGATTTCATCACGAACATGGCGGTCAACCATGCCGGGCATGTGCTTAGAAGTATCCAACACCAAGCATCGCTCGGGCATTTCACCATTTTTGAGTTTTTGCAGGTTTCGAACATCTCTTGCCCCCGGGAAATGTCAACACTCTTTTGACCCTCAGGCTTGTCAGGCAGGAATTTTCACGCATTTTGCCCACGTGTCTGCCTGCTGCGTGCGTGAGTGCCATCCTTCGGATGATCTGAAACCATGCAGATAGCTGGGGTGCTGCCGATGACTCGACTTGGCTGAACCTGCATATTTTCAACAAGTGCGACCGGTTGCCTCATGTCGAATCTATTCGATGTATCCGTT